GGCTAATCCGACAATCCTCACTCTACATTCCTACCTTTACCCCTTAACCTTCAACTCCCACTGACTAAAACTCTGTTTCAGCCTTGAATATTCTTAATGACCCAATCTTTACTGCCCTCTGTGGTAAAGAATTCCACAGATTCACTACCCTCTGAGAAAGAAATTCTTCCTCATCTCTGCCTTAAATATGTGACCCTTGATTGTGAGATGGGGCCCTCTAGTCCCAAACTCTCCCACAAGGGGAAACAATCTTTTTGCATCTACCCTGTCCAGTCCCCCTAAGAATCTTGTATGTTTCAATAAGGTCACCTCTCAGTCTTCTAAAATCCAATGAGTACAGGCCTCAACCTCCCTCCGTCTCTCTTCAGTCAACCCCTGTATAGCCGCAATCAACCTAGTCAACCTGCTCTGCACTGCCTCCAATGCCAGCATATCCCTCCATAGATAAGGGCCCAAAACTGTTCATAGTATTCTAGTTGTGGTCTGACAAGTGTCTTGAACTGCTTTAACAAAACCTCCCTTCTGACTGTTCTGGCTGAGCTGAGCATACACTCAGTTTCTAGGTGTGAAGAAACCATGTTTGGCGTTTTTTTTGTTGCAGTCAGCATATTTACCTTGAGAAAATGTGTTTGTTTCATGTGTTATGCCTCAAACTCCTGTGGAGCTTAGATTCTCCAAGTGATGTCTTGCTCACATCCTGTAAGCTCTGAATAAATTGACCAAGGTTCTCTCGCCAGCCGTCTCGGTTCTAGAATGAGTTGGTTGTTGTTTTAGGAACTTCACACTCTTTCCTTGCTGGTTAATGGTCTGAGAGGGTCCTTCCATCATTGGGACCAGCAGATGGGGTGGGGGGGAGGTGTGGATTTGGTCCTTTGCAGTTTTGTTGGGGGAGAGCTAATGGTCTGCCACCACCTACTCAATGGAATGGGGGAAGGGAGCCGGGTCAACAAGTCTTGCCCTAACCCAAGGTCTGTGTCCAAGTGAGATTTCTGACTGTCCAAAGCCTGACAGAGGTTAGGATGTTTCTGTGGGAGAGAGGGAGTGAGTCGCATCTGCTCACAATCCCCTGCCAAGGAGCAGTCTCTGCGCGGCACCAGGATATGTTGTGGATTTTGAACAATTGCAAAGAAGAAGGGAGAAAGCAGTGGCCACCATCTTGGTTTTATCTCCTGGTTTCCAACAAGGCATTCGGTGCAAACAGGGACAAGGTAACAATGCCAGGAGCCAATAATAGAGGACCAACATGTCCAAACCACAAGCCATCTCCACCGCTCCAGAATGCTGCTTCCTCTCATAGGGTGAAGACTTCAGCTGTTCCAAATAACCCACATTACAACTGCTTAACATGTCCAGTTGAGCCTTATAGATTTGTTGCATTTAGTTCTTTGATTTTATGCATTCCATTGTGTTCCTAGAACAGCCTTTGAAAACAATTGCAACCATGAACATCTCAGTATTCTGGTGTTTCTGCATTGTGCAAACATCAATCCCAGGACAGGCTTAGCAGAGACCGCATCTGGCAATGTAGAGAATCTACCTGAGAGAGCAGTGGACCTGAAAAAGTAAAATAACTTAAGAGTGTTGGCTAAAGATTTTGTGTGTGTGCATCGGGGGTGGGGGCATTGCTGTACCAGAGGTGGTTAATGGAATTAGGAATAGTGGTTTGAAGGTCAAGATGTTTAATTTAGAGACTTGATTGATTATTGCCACATGTGAACTGGGAAAGAGCAATTCAACTGGGAGTCAAGTTTTAGGAAATGGTAGCTGAATGGAAAATGTAATGGAGGAGTATGAGGAGAAGTTGAAGGTGCAGTGAATGGTGTACACCATGTTCAGGTTACACAGTTACTCCAATTTTAACACAGCCGCAAGAAAGACAAAACCCACATGAATTCTCAACAGTAGACACAACCAGTCAGGGGCTATATGTTTCAATATGTTACTAAATGTGATGTCAAATGCAATCCCACCAATCTTCTTACTGCTGTCTGGCGGGTTAATGGATTTGGGCAAGAACTTCTGTCGAATTGTGACCTCCTGTTCCCTCTCCCTTGTTTCCCACATTGTGTCTATTATTAAAACCTCACTGTTACGATAGCAAACCGGTATTCCTTGTGCTGGTGTGAGCTCCCTCATGTCTCTCTCTCATGTAAAACTTTGGGGAACCAGGAATCCACAGCAGGTATGTCTGAACACAATCACTGTTCTTTGTCAGGTTTCTCTGCCATGGATAAGTCAGAAGCAATCTCACCAGAGTCAGAAAATTGTTCATTCATGTCCCAACTCTAACAATGACAACAGCAGCAATGAGAAGAGTTGGGAACCCTGCAGCCTTCAGGACTCAGTATCAAGTTCAATAGTTTTAGGGCCTGAACACCTCCCTCTATGTCCTTTACCCCCACCAAAAGCCCAGGTGTTCTCAGCTCAGCTGACCCACTTTCACCAATTAATAGGGCCCATTTTCAGGTTGACTTTCTCCCTGACTCACCATTATCCATCCGTTTGTTTGCCTAGCTGTCTTTCTCTCCCTCTGGGCTCCATCACCACCTTTCCTCTCACTCCTTTAACCATCCTGTGCCCCAAACCACTCCTTTTCTTCAGCATGTTTACTATGTATACTATTTCTTTCCTCATAACTATCAGTTCTGAAGAAAGGTCACTGGATCTGAAATGTTAACCCTGCTTTATCATAGAATCCCTACAGTGTGGAAACAGGCCCTTCAGCCCAACAAGTCCACATCGAACCTCGGAGCATCCCATGCACACTCATCCCCCTATAACTTACCGAATCTTGGGCAATTTAGCATGGCCAATCCACCTAACCTGCACATCTTTGGACTGTGGAAGGAAACCAGAACACCCGGAAGATTCCCACGCAGACACGGGGAGAACGTGCAAACTCCACACAGACAGTCGCCCGAGGGTGGAATCGAACTCGGGTCGCATGGCGCTGTGAGGCAGCAGTGCTAACCACTGAGCCACTGTGCTGTGTTTTCTCTCTACAGACCTGCTGAGTTTCTCTAGCAAATTTTTTTTCTGTTTGGGATTGCTGGTCCAGTGGCATTACCACTATGCCACTGCCTGCCAATCGTTTCAACATCACACATCCCTGCAGGTCACCCTCAATGGGCAGACACGCAGAAGGGAAGAGTGGATTGCTGGGGGCACAACAGTCAAATGTGAACGGAAGCTCCCACTTTCCAAACAGGGTGAGGTGAGATGGCTGAGTTACCATGGAGAAGGTATTGGGTCAGAGGAATCAACCCTGTGCTAGAGGATTGTCTGATTGGACAGTGCAGTGAGACAGTTTCCCATTCCAAAGTAATCAGTCAATTTGCTTTTAGACGTCACACTCACAGTTTAAAGATTTGATCAGCAGGGACGGCAGTGAATCTTATCTCCAGGAAAGGATACACAGGGGATTAACTGAGTCTGTGGAACTACACTGTGGGAGTTAGTGTCTGAGTCAGGAAACAGGCCAGGCTGGGTTCGATAGGTAGCTGCAAGGCAAGGGAAAGGACTGAGTGGGAGCAGGAACATTTCCTGGGGATACTACTGGTTAAACTCCATCACAGACTGGTTTCAGTAAATGATCTGCTTCTATATAGTCATTCCAGAATAACACTGTAATGTTCAGCTGTGAGGAAATACTACTGAGTCTCGTTTTAAATAACTGACACAAAGGCAATCATCTCTCAAAAATAATTCATGCAACTCAATGAGATATTTTCTCTCAATGCTGTGTGAGTGACTCAGTGATAAACTGATCGCAGGGACGGCCTGGAGGGTGGACTGCACAACGATTGTAGCAACGAGGTTTGAGTTATGAGGAGAGGCTGGATAGGCTGGGACATTTTACACTGGAGCATAGGAGTTTGAGGGGTGATCTTAAAGAGGTTTATAAAATCATGAGGGGCATAGATAAGGCAAAGGTCTTCTCCATTGGGTGGGGGAGTTCAAAACTAGGGGACATACTTTTAAAGTGAGAGGAGAAAGGTTTAAAGGGACCTGAGGGGCAAATTTTTCACACAGAGGGTGGTTCGTGTGTGAAATGAACTGCCAGAAGAAGTGGTAGATGCAGGTTCAGTTACAACATTTAAAAGACATTTGGACAGGTACATGGATAGGAAAGGTTTAGAGGGATATGGACCAAATGCAGGTAAGTGGGACTAGTTCATTTTGGGAAACCTGGTTGGCATGGACGAATTGAACTGAAGGATCTATTTCTGTGCTGTATGACTTTATAACAAGGCTCACTCTGCGAATACAATCTTATATTTCCCAAATAAATCTTTCCACTCATTGAAGGGGTGTCTCTTGTACCCTCAACATTGTAGAGTAAAGTCTAAAAAATGACCTCAGCTAAACCAAGACACATTCTGGTGAAGCATTCAATTCCAAAATCTTATCTCTATTAGTTACAACTTATTCAGGAATGTAATTCAAGACAATTTTCCCTTCCATTGACCTAGAGAAGAGTGTGGCTGGGTTTGTTAGAACTGGGGGTCTGCTTTCAGACAATATTAGGTTACAGGATTGAATTGTCAGCCATGGGTTATCGTTCATTTCAAACTGGACATCATCTCCTTTCACAAATTTGACAACTGGACATTATTCCTCAAAGAGTTTTCTCCTTTTCTCCACGTTTACCTATTTAAATTTGAAAACTGACAATGCCAACATACACTAAATCAGGACTGCACCTTATTCAGATGCATAGCCTGTGAGTTTTGGGGGGAACACACATTTAGGCACGTGTACAGTCTAAGCAGGAGTCACACCTTCAATGGTCAGGAACAAACATTAACTTCACACAGCAGCAGGCAGCTCAACAACATACAAAACACCAGATTTTAATGGAAATGATTAACTTTCACCCTAACTATATATCAAGATCCTAAACTCTACAGCTAAAACAGCATCAATTACATCCAAATACCTAACTCTTTTCTGTGCTTAGAAATTGTTCTGGTGAAAAAACATTCTCCAAAACTACTCACCAAGTGGAGCTCAAAAGTGATGCATAAACTTATCTTGTGAACAGTTGATCCTACACTAGGCAGTGGACACTGGACACTGGACACTGGAAACAGGCAGTGAGGGTAGTTTGCTGCGAATGGCAGCTCCTGCTGCTGGGGAATATCTGGCTGGAAAGTCTGTTGATGTTGGTTTTATATCTGGGTGGATGGTGGGGCAGTACCTCTGCAAGATACATCACAAATCAAAGGCGGAGCTAGTCTAATTCAGCTCGAACAGAAAAGACAGCTCCTCTCCAACAGAACTCCACATCTTCCCTGGGGTTTCTCTGGTATGGGAAACTGTAGGGCCCATGGCTGAGCTCAGAAGCCAGCCCAGGTCTGTAAAACTTTTTGAACGAGTTCTTCCCTTATCCCTCCTGCAAAATCCACTCCCATCTTCCTCTTAACCCCCACAAACAAGCCTGTGATGGGATCTTGCTGTACACATTTTGGCTCACATGCCAACAGTCACTGTACTTCAGAACTGTAAATCATGGTAAATGCTTCTAGCTAAGCAACTCATTGATCAGTGAGGGATTCAAGGGTTACATGCAGGAAGGTGGAGTTGGGGATTATCGGATCAGCCAAGGTCTAATTGAATGGTGGAGCAGACTCGATGGGATGAATGGCCTATTTCTGCCCCTGTGCTTTATCTTAGATGTTTGTGAGTGGTGCTGGTACTCCATGCTCCTCTGTGATTCCATCTGAATCGTTGTCACCCAGAGATTAGAATGATGCAATAGCCAAAACAGCAATAATGTCCTCCTTGCCTCTCTCTCCTCCGCTTTCCCCCTCTGCTGTTCCCTTCCTTCATCTCTCTTTCTCCTTTCCTGCCATTCTCCCTCCCACCTTCTTCCTGACTTGGATCTACAGCTCTGTTCCTTCACTGTTGCTGGGTTGAAACCCTGGGACACCCTCCGCACTGCACTCTGGGTATCCCTACGCCCCCAAGGATTGCTGTGGTTCAAGATGGCGGCTCACCGGCCCCTTCATGAAGGTGATGTTTTTATTCATTCATGAGATGAGGGTGTCGCTGGCTAGGCAGCATTTATTGCCCATCCCTAATGCCCAGAGGGCAGTTGGAAGTCAACGACATTGCTGTGGGTCTGGAGTCAGATGTAGGCCGGAGCAGGTAAGGATGGCAGCTTTCCCTAAAGGACATTAGTGAACCAGATGGGTTTTCCATGCATTTTCCATCTTGACCATTGACAATGGATTCATGGTCATCGTTAGACTCTTAATTCCAGATGTTTATTGAATCCAAATTCCATCATCTGCTGTGGCGGGATTTGAACCCAGGTCCCCAGAACATTGCCAGCATCTCTGGATAACAGTCCAGTAATAATACCTCCCAGTAATATTGTCTCCCCAACTGGTGAGCAATAAATGCCGGCCTAGCCAGTGATGCCCATGTCGTGTAAATGTATTAACGGCCTCAGATGTAAAGGAGTTGTGTGTAATTTAGAACAGGTCAGCCTGGAATTCCAATTTAATTCTCCTCCCTAAAAGAACAATCAACTAAAATCAACAGACTCCAGCCCGAGACAGCTTTTACCCCTCACGCTACCTCCCAGCACAGACAGTACGGGGCCTACAGAGATACCCGACAATTAACTTCAATCGAAATCCAGGCGCACAGACACTGACAATTGGAAAACCCATTAACTTTAGAAGGAAACACTAGGAAAAGCGCAGATTTGGTGTGAAGATAAGGAGGCCACAAACAGTATAATTGCAGGCCCCGATCTCACCCGGCAAACGTTCTGAGAGCTCCCTGGATGAGAGCTACCAAGCACAGCCAACAAAACCATTGACCTACACCTCAGCAAACCAACTGACCCTGACCAACACCACAAGCCCTCAGACACATCCTGAGGCGAAAACCAGGCCCACAAGGTCAGCAGAAAATGAAGAAAACCAGGTGCTTACCCGAAAGATCCAATACGCACCTAACCGCAGCAGCAGAATCAACCCAAACTGAAAAGCCAATGCCGGACAGAGTCTTCATCCAGGTTCAGGTTACGGCAAGCGGGAATAGCCAGGCGTATGTCAAAATTGCATTTTTTTCAGTGGTGGGCTTTAACTCCCGAGACCCCAAAGTTCCAACCAAGCTAGCAGGGGGAGGGGAAGGCGGGGTGACAGTGCATTGGGACCCCAAGAGCAGGAAGCCTGATTAAAGATTCTGTAATTAAACTGTTATTTAAACTGTTGTTTTTCTGTCAGTAGTTCTAATAGTTTTAATCTAAAAAATAGTGTGATTTAATGTAATACAGTTCTGTGTATAATTAATTGCGTTAATTTCCCTTCTCTATTGCATTTACCTATTTTTCTTGTATTATATTTGCCTTTGTATATTAATTAAATGCAGAGATTCTTTTGCCCTGAAACACCTGTCTCCTGCCTCTTCATTTCACATTCCCTAAATAAGTCCAACATCCAGAACCAGGGATCTGGGAGTGATTCGAACCGCTTAAAAATCAGGAAATAACTGATTGCAAACCAGAACCCCACAAAGGAAACTTTATAATTTATCACCAACAATCTGAATTGTTTCATTTCAACATGGTAGAGTATCTAATGATCAGGTGTCACTTCTTCATGGAACAGCCATGTATTTCTCTTAGTGCCCGGCCAACACTCACCAACGACCTCCCCCCCCCCCCCCTCCCCCTCTAATAACGCCTTGATCACAAAGGTGAACTCATTGTTCACCATTCTGCTCTTTCTGGTACTTTGCTGCTCAACAGGTTCAGCTTATGTTTAAAAACAATGGTGACCACAATTCAAAACTGATTCATAGGTGGTGAGTCACTTTGGGTCATCTTGAGGATGTGAAAGGTGCTACATAAATGCAAGTCTGCCTCCTTTTAAACTTGTGATGAAGGTATATCACTCTGTCTTGCTTTGTTGAATGATGAACAGAAAGACTCCAGGAGTATTACACGATCTGGAATGCCACTACAGTGGGACTGGGCTGTGGAAGAGATTTCACTTACACGATCAGTCAGGTTCCCCTCAGTATGGACATGATGGTTGTGACTTTCTCCTCCCTGCAGGTGGCGATAATAATAGGGTGAGTTGGCCCAATGCACGTCTGGGTGACAGGGTCCATTGCAGACTTTAACAGCTCATCGACAATTATTCATGCCCCTTATGTCATGGCCACTCAAGAGCCTCAACACAGCACCTCCCTGATCACCCATACAACACCCGCCAAGATCTGCCAGGTTTGACAACCCTACAATTACCCCAAACTGGGAGCACTTTGAGGCATGGATTCAGGCAAGGTGGTGGTATTGATTGATAGATTAATTTATTGTCAATTGCACAGAAATACAGTGAAAAGTTTTGTTTATGAGTGGTACAGGCAGATCACAGCAAGCAAAGGATGTACAGATCAAAAAGACTTAGAGACATACAGGTTACATTGCAGGTTACACTATTTCAGGTTAGAGTCCATTCAACAGTCTGAAAGCGGCCGAAAGTAAGCTGTTCCTGAACCTGTTGGTGCGGGTGTTCAAGCTTCTGTATCTTCTGCCTGATGGAAGAGGTTGTAGGAGATCATTACTGGGGTGCGATGGGTCTTTGTTGATGTTGGCCGCCTTTCCACAGCAGCGAGCCGTGTGAATGGAGGCCATGGATGAAAGGTTATCTTCCGCAATGGTCTGGGCTGTGCACACCACCCTATGTAGTTTCTTACAGGCCTGGGCAGAGCAGTTACCATACCAGGCCGTTATGCACCCGGATAGTTTGCTTTCAATGGTGCATCTGTAGAAGTTGGTGAGGGGCCTTATGGACATGGCAAATTTCCTCAGCTGCCTGAAGAAGAAGAAGCGTTGTTGTGCCTTCTTGACTGTCGCATCTACATGGGAAATCCAGGACAGGTTGTCGATTATCGTCACTCTGAGGAACTTGACCCTCTTAACGTCAGTTCCATTGGTGTAGATGGGGGCATGTTCTCCTCCTTTCTTTCTCAAGTCAATGATCAGTTCTTTAGTTTTGCCGACGTCTGAAACCAGCTGCCCTGCCGTTGCCACCGACTCGCCCTCGCACACCCTGTGACCAGGAGATAGAAACCTTCCCAGCTCTGCTCAGCCAGAAGCTGTGGAAGAGTGAGACTTCCCACCCTCAGCCACCTATCAGCCTCGAATGAGCTGGTTAGTGGGAGACTGACTAAATTATGTCACTGGTGGGGGAGATGTGTTTGTCATTTTCTTGCATACAACCACCATCTTACTTTCAATAAAATGGGAAACTACATCCCAACGTTTGCAGGTCTACCTACATCAATTCTTCTATAGTTCCTCTAACTCACCTTGGCCCAAGATTTCTCAGTCCAACCAACTTCTACTGGTTTCTCTGCAACTATCCTTCTGCCCTCCATCAAGCTGTTCCAAACATTACTTCCCGGATCAGACCCAGAGCTGGACTAACAAGTGGCAGTGAGTTAACATTCACATCGCATTAAGGCCACCAGTAGGGGTCATGACCAGAGACTGGAAGTTTTATTGGGCTCCCATGCTACCCATGTAGATGAAAGATTAGGCCAGAGTCTGAATATTCTATAGTAATTAGATCATCCCCTCATCCCCCCAACTCCTTCCCAAAACTCAATTCTGGTGCATCTACATCATTCAGGAGGACTCACTGTGCTCTGATATGTCCCATTGTCAGGATATTACGGTCAATCTTCTTCAAGTGAACTATCCAGCTCTACAATTTCTATTACCCAGAAGTCAGCAACTGTGAGACACTCACAATCCCTGAGTTGAAATCCCTGTCCTGGGTTAAAATCCTAGAGCTCTCTCCCTGACAGCATTGAGAGTGTCCCTACATCTACAGTGGTTCAAGGAGGCAGCTCACCATCACCTTCTCAAAGGGCAGTACATACTGTCACCTTCCACGATGCCCACATCACAAAAGGAACTGCAAGAGGAGCTTAAGCCCTTCTATTTTCTTACATCAGCCTTCCCAGGATCTTATAGGACAGTCAGCAAAGACTCAGGCTAGTCTCCTCAGTCAGTGTCTTCCTACAAGCTTTGAATTGTCTGTGATGATCTCCTTTGCTTCTGATCATAGATTTGTTCTTTAACTTTGAACTAAACTTGTACATC